TAGTCTATCATTTTCTTTTATTTTTAATAAGTCAATGGCACTTAGCAGCTATAATGATTGTGGAATGAGTATCTGTCACTCTTTCCCCAACACCCCTGAAATGCCCGGGTCACTGTACCAACTACAGCTTCCACTTCCACCTGTATGTTAGGTCTCTATCATATTCCTATATCAAATCACCCTTTATGCCCTGAAAAAACCATTTATATCCTGGAGGATAATGGTAAACCTAACCAAGCTATTGTGCCAGATACGATATTCTTACTAGAACAGATCAATTGTTCTAGCTGGTATGTGGCACTAGGCTTGTGTTTATTGATTCATTGCATGCTTTTCAATTCTTAACAGAAAGGAAGATCAGAATAGTTTGAATTCACTTGGAATGAGAAGAATTGTGCATACTGAATCTTGACCCATACTCCCTGTCACAATATATCTGAAGAAATCTTGATTGGTCATTCCATAACATCACACTGATCCACTAAACTGATGACATCAGGTTAATTACACTTGAAGAGCAGGGAATGGTAAGTACCCAGGACAGACTGAAACATAGGCACATTAGGATGGTGAGAGAGAGACTCTACAAGAGATCAGGTCCCTACCACATCAATTAAGTCTTTAGGGATCCAGTGGTCTGGAGCATGCTGGCATATCCTCTCCTCATACCACCAAGAAAGATGCAGAGCACTTGGTAGGCCTCTGTGGATTTCCAAGAAGCCACACTTGGGAATACTACTCTGATTCATTTGTTGGAAGATGCAGAAAGCTACATTCCATGGAAGGAACAAGAGAAAGAGAGGGCTCCACAGCAAATTTAGGGCATGGCCCTTCATTCTATTGTCATGAGAGCAAGGTTGGTTCTGATATGAGGAAGACTAAAAGTATCAGCGATTCAATATTCTCAGGAGTAACCCTCAACCAACAAAGAATTGTAGTTGAAGAATAAATACCCATTTCCTTGCTCCTCAATAATAGAGTGTGTTCCACATGGTCCTTTAAGTTTCTCCAGGGGGACGGAGCCACATTTGCCCATTGTAGTAACCTACTACAATGGTACTAATTAAAGTGCTTTTTTGGTCTTCCTCTCTTCTCTGTCTCACCTTCTCTCTCTTCACTATGCTGCCCAGATCACCACCAAAATAAACTAGAGCATCCAAATCCTTGTCTCATGGTCTGCTTTCAGACAAGGTTCACCATGGCTGGAATTGAGGGAGGGAGGGAGAAATGAAATGACAGGAAGTTGAGAAGCAGGTAAGGATCCAATCATGTGGAGTTTTATAGTATACAATAAGTTTGTATTTAATTCTAAAGGCAATGGGAAGTCAATGACATGTCCTAATTAGAGAAATTGAATGAATAAATTTAAGTTTCTAAGATAATATTATGATGGCCACTTTGAAAAGAATTATTTGAGAGGAATAGTAATGGATTCAAAGAGAACAGTTAGGGAGTAATAAGGGTGCTTAGGTGATAAAGGTTACAGTGAGAGAAAGGAATGGGCTAATTCCAGATTTATTTGAGTGAGAACCTACAGGACTTGCTAATAAATTGGTTATGAGGTCCAATGGAAAATTATGATGCCATTTTCTGAAATGGAAAGGATGGAATGAAGGCGTGCTTCAAATTTCAGATAAAATATTTCTTTATTTTTTATTCTTTCTGCCTTGTAAGTTCTAGGATCCAGGTACTTTTCAACAGGTTGGGTAGGTGGGATATAAGACCTCTGTGAATACTGATAAAATTCTTTTCACAAGTTGTAGGGGTAAATAGGCTAGAGGCAAATATATTTTATTTCTGTTTCTGTCATATTCATATTTTAGGTATGACAGCTAGAACACTATTGCCTTTCCCAGGTTCGTTTTTTGTTGTTGTTGTTGTTGAGACGGAGTCTCGCTCTGTCGCCCAGGCTGGAGTGCAGTGGCCGGATCTCAGCTCACTGCAAGCTCTGCCTCCCGGGTTTACACCATTCTCCTGCCTCAGCCCCTCGAGTAGCTGGGACTATAGGTGCCTGCCACCACGCCTGGCTAATTTTTTGTATTTTTAGTAGAGACGGGGTTTCACCGTGTTAGCCAGGATGGTCTCGATCTCCTGACCTTGTGATCTGCCCGTCTCAGCCTCCCAAAGTGCTGGGATTCCCAGGTTCATTTTATTATATAATACACAGTTTTCTAAAGACAAAAACATTCAGTTGCAATTTGTAAGTATCTTTACTCCTAGCCAAATTACATCACACAGGCTGCTGGAAGTGCATATTCTAAAAAGGAAGAAGTAATTCCAAATTGAGCCATGTTCTCCTCATGCAGGAGAGGAAATGGTCAGCTTCCTGGGAAGCTATCTGAGGGAGAGAACAGATGGTTTATGCATTACTAACCCTGCAGGGCAGGGGAACACTGGAGAACAGTCCAGAAGACACTGCTTTCTAGACAAAACAAAGAAACATTTCAGAGTCTGCCTCCCCAGCCAGCTCTTGGAACTTCCCATTCCATGGACTCATGCTGCCTTGACTTCATGCAAGGAAGGAATAGCTCCCTTTGAAACACTAGGGAAAACAGCAGTCCTGCTGGCATTAGCTGTAGGCCAGAAATCACTAAATACTTACATTAAACAAGGGTAGAAATTCTAAAGGCTTAGACTTAGGAATTGCGAGCCGTACAGCAAGTTTAGCTCATAGAAACCTGTCTATAGACATTCACAGTGTAACTTTCATTTCTTTAGATCACATCAAACATGACAAAGTTGAGATAGGAGTCCGCTTCAGCAGGACAACCCCTAGTGAGCTAGGGCACTACAATTATAGTCCCTTTCAAGGTGTCTTCACTGTGTGTGGTGCAGAATGGTTAACATCGATCTACTGCATGACTTGGAAGAGGCTCAAACATCTCCCAAAGCCAAACATTTATTCTTACAGAGTAGACTCTATATGCCTATTGAAAATCAGATTGTTTTAAATGCAACCTAACTTCTGCCCCCAGTGGGATTAATGTGCCATATAGCTCACAGTACTATCAGTCATCATTATAACTCTATTCTTCTACTTCTTCCTTGTTTTTTTTTTTTTTTTGATGGAGTTTCACTTTTGTTGGCCAGGCTGGAGTGCAATGACACGATCTCGGCTCACTGCAACCTCTGCCTTCCAGATTCACGTGACTGTCCTGCCTCAGCCTCCTGAGTAGCTGGGATTATAGGCACCTGCCACCATGCCCGGTTAATTTTTGTATTTTTAGTAGAGATGGGGTTTCGCCATGTTGGTCAGGCTGGTCTCAAACTCCTGACCTCAGGTGATCCATCCTCCTTGGCCTCCCAAACTGTTGGGATTACAGGAGTGAGCCACCATGCCTGGACTATTGTTTTTGTTTTTTTTTTTTTTTGAGATGGAGTCTCGCTCTGTCGCCCAGGCTGGAGTGCACTGGCTCGATCTCGGCTCACTGCAAGCTCCACCTCCCGGGTTCACACCATTCTCCTGCCTCAGCCTCCCCAGCAGCTGGGACTACAGGCACCTGCCACCACGCCCAGATAATATTTATGTATTTTTAGTACAGACAGGGTTTCACCATGTTAGCCAGGATGGTCTTGATCTCCTGACCTCGCGATCCACCCGCCTTGGCCTCCCAAAGTGCTGGGATTACAGGCGTGAGCCACCACGCTCGGCCCTCTTCTACTTCTTAAATGAGTGTTAGAGCCCACATTTTCTAGAACTGGACCAGTCACAGAACCATATGCCCACTGTTAACAACCGCAAAAGGTAGCAAAAGCTCTGAATTTCTACTTAATTTTATCTTGAGACATATGACACTGCTAGGCATAGTTAGGGGCATGAAGAGGATGTCATTTCCACCCTATGTGCTCCTGAGACACCTCTGAGCTGGTCTTCAGCTGCAGTGGTAGCCTCCTACTTTAAGCATCCATCTGAACTTCTCCACTTGAGGATTTCCTCTGGTGCTACACATGCTTGCTTCATTTGTATACAGAGAAGCCTGCAAGAGCCAGGGATTTAATGCACCCAAGGTAACCCTCCACCAATAATGGATGGGAGTGAGTAGAGAAACAGTCCATCTTCCCCATCTCTTGGTAAGGCAATTCTGAGGGATATCCTCAGCAGATGCTTAGAGAGTCCCAGTGGGAATTAAACTTTAGTTGCCCTCAGCAGTATCCTTCTCAACATGCACTGTATTGTCTTTCATTCCATGGTAGACAAGGAGATGCACCATACAGATCCAAGGAATGTGACCACCTGCCCCAGCAGTCAGCTCCCTCAGGGTCTGCCTGAGTCTGAGAGTTGCCTTACCCGAGGTAATGCCCTTCTCCTAGGCAGCCCTCATCTGGTGACAACATGAGATGAGGGTACAAAGGTGTAGTCATTTTGGCCCCATGCAGGATGGTGCTGATGGGGAATATTTGCCCCAGGGTGCACTGCCATGTTGGCCAAGGTTGTGTCAGGGCTGTGTCATGGTTTGACTGCCCAATCCTCCATCTTTCTCCTTCCTTTCACAGATGCGAATCCCTAAAAAACATCTTGCACCCTAAAGTCTGCATAGCACCTGCTGCATCTAGAAAAAAATCAATCTGTATCAACTTACCCATCTCACTCTCCCAACTCCCTCACTTGTGCCAACTGGGATCATAAATCAACCTCCTACACACAACTCCAACTTTTTGGAAGGGACTCAAACTAGAAAATGAGAAAGAGAGCAGTCCTTCTTTCACTCCTAATTTTCCCTTCCTTATAGAGGTAGCTCCAGTAACTAAAATAGTCTTGGCTTTTCTCTCCCCACTCATTCCCTCCTCCCTGAAAGAGTAAACTGGGTATGTGTAGCCCAGCTTGTTCCTCTCTGCTTTCAGGAGAGGGGCTGCACACAGGAATCACATGTTCTTCGCCATTTCTGCATGCTGTCAGTTTTCCATAGACAATGCCTGATTTAGAGAGTCCTATAGTGGTCAGTGTTACTGGACTGGCTGTCTACCTGTCTAGTGCTATGGCTTAGTTTGGAGAAACCTACCTGTCTGCAGATATAAGTCACATTCTCCAATGTCTGGTTTATCAGTAGGAAAGATGCTACATTAGCCACCATCTGCTGACTTTTGTTCTGTGGTTATATTGTTTAAGGACTCAGGCAAGAAAGAAAATGATTATTTATGAGGTTCCACCAAACCTCTTTCCTCATTTTAAGAGCAAGCTCTAGCTGTATTGTGAGGTCATCTGGGTTGTAATCAGGCAAGGAGAATGTGGTGGTCATGGAAATATCCCACTCAGATGTCCCATCTAGAAACCAGCTGCAGGGAGCACAGCTGACTAGCAACCTCAGTGCTGCTCCTTTGGATCTACCATGGCATTAACTGATCAGCGGGAGCCCAGGCAATGATAGAGCACAGCAGGAGTGCTAAAGCTAGACCCATTCTGCCTGCCTGATGCAGGTCTCATCCAACAGGCAGGTTTGCCTCAGGGACTACTCATCAGCCTGGTCAGGACTTTGTCAAACTGCACTGTAATATGAGGCTCTTCCTGCCCAAAACTTCTTCCTTCCCTCTGTCCTTTCACATGTATCAGATCAGCATGATGGTTTGAAGACTCTCCCTACCTTCAACTGCTCCTTCCTCCTCTATATTTCAAAGGCATCTCCCCAAATCATGCATGTCTAATCCATCCTGGTGTCTGATCATTAGAGAAAAGAGAACCTGAACCAACACAGTAATTGCCCAAAGAGGAAGAATGGAGGAGTGTCAGGGTTTGGCTTTCTCCTGGGTGTTGGAACCCCACTTGGGATGACTCATTTGTAAAGTGATATAGAATCCTAGCACTCATGTCTTAGTTGCAGGAGTTTTCCATGTAATTATTGTACATTTTGTGAAAAAACTAAAGAGTTTTAATTAAAGGCCTACATCCCTCACTTTCTAAGGACCTCCAGAGCCACTTTGATCAGGTCTTGAACAAGGCAATTACCATGTTGAGCCATTTTTATAGACCTGATTAACTAGAATCTGAACTTTCTTTTCTCCTCCACACAGAAGCCCTACAGCTTCTTTCAGCCATTTCTAACTGGAGTAGTACCGACTTCTCATGATAAACAGACCTTTTCTGAAAGCAGTGCCAAACTTTTAGCACATTATTCTTGGCTCATATAGCCCATACCCCTGAAAAAGGGAAGGAAACTTGTGTAACTGAAAGTACAAGGACCTTCAATTATATAACAGTTAGGAAAGGGAGATAGGCTTGAGCTCTAGCTGTCTCATTCACAGCTGAGTGATGACCAGGAGACCACTTATTCAGAGGCTAATTTCCTATTCTGGAAAATGAAAAGACCTCCCAGGGCTTTTTGTAAATGTTAAGAATACAAATGTACTTCATAAATTGTGGAACAGAGAGATTGTACAACAGTCATGAGTGGGACAGATCTGGTCTACAGATGTGTTGAGTTTGGCCTACAGAGAATTTCTTTTTTTAATCTGAAAATTTCACAGAAAATGTGGCTTTCTGGCTTCTTTCAAAAAATCCTCGTTGCAGCAATTCAATGGTGAGAAATAGCAGCTGCCCCCAAAGAGTATGTTTCTTCCAGTTCCCAGTGGTCGCCATAACTCACAGCCTCACTCACTGAGACATCACTTACTCACATTACTTGGTGGGCTCCAGTAGGTATGAGTTTGGGACCCCTGGGGTAGAACATGATGAAAGTTTCATCACCTGTGAGGGGACAATCAGATTCTACTGGAGAAGATCCAGAGAAGACAGTCTGTCACCACTCAAGATGTGGATGTCGCAGTAAGGTAACACTGAAGTGGCGCCTGATGGATCCTGCCTGACCATGAGTCCTTTCATTAGTCCAAGAATACACACGGTATAAGATTTTGATGTTGTGTTTTATAATTATATACTTTGGTTGTCATCCTTGTTCTTGGCACAGAGCACTTATGACCCTTGTAAGGAGATGTAGGCCCACCATACTTGAAAGCATTTCAATGTACAACTTTCCAGAGCTGCAGGAATGTTCCACCATCATGCCATTGTGCTCCAGGAGTTACAAGGGTTCCTTGTAGATTCTGGATATTAGTCCTTTGTCAGATGCATAGTTTGCAAATATTTTCTCCCATTCTTCAGGTTTCTGTTCACTCTGTTATTTATTTTACCAGGCAGAAGCTTTTTAATTAAGTCCCATTTGTCTACTTTTGAATGGAATAATAGACATTGGATATTTGAAAGGATGGGAAGATGCAGGGAAGGGATGAGAAACTACTTAATAAGTACAATGTTTACTAATCCTCCACTCAGTGGAGAATTTCTTTTTTTTTTTTTTTTTTTTTTTTTGAGACGGAGTCTCGCTCTGTCACCCAGGCTGGAGTGCAGTGGCTGGATCTCAGCTCACTGCAAGCTCCGCCTCCCGGGTTTACGCCATTCTCCTGCCTCAGCCTCTGGGTAGCCGGGACTACAGGCGCCCGCCACCGCGCCCGGCTAGTTTTTTTGTATTTTTTTTTTTTTAGTAGAGACGGGGTTTCACCGTGTTAGCCAGGATGGTCTCGATCTCCTGACCTCGTGATCCGCCCATCTCGGCCTCCCAAAGTGCTGGGATTACAGGCTTGAGCCACCGCGCCCGGCCCTTAATAAGTACAATGTATACTGTGGATGATGACTGCACTTAAAGCCCAGACTTCACCACTACACAATATATCCGAGTAACAAAACTGCACTTGTACCCCCTAAATATATTCTTTAAGAAAAAAAGAACTGGGAAATTCTTGTTTCAGGGTTCATGAGTATAGATTTGTTAGATTTGTTTGTATTTGAAATGATTGTAGTTCAGACAAAAACTACTCCCAAAGAGAAACAAGAATTATTGCTGTATCTCTTATGCTTCCCAGACCTGTGCCTTAGTTTGGGTTCCCTGAGAACCCAAGACAAGAACTCAAGTGATTTACCTGAAAGATAGAGGGAACTCTGTTAGGAGAGTGGGAAAGGGAGACAGGGAAGCAAAGTAGCCAATAAAGCACATTTTACCAAGTCACCTACCATTGCCAGCACCTGGAGCATCATTCCAAGGAGAGTCTGTGCTGGGGTGGTGATCGTAGTTTACAGTTCACTGGGACCCTGTGTTACCAGTACCAGGCAAGAGTGTTTCTAGTTTGGAGACCAGGACCTCTAACCTTGCAGAGTCCAGATTTGTGCAGATGAAAAGCACAATGTTCCTTCAGTGGGATGTTGGAGATAATGATGAGTAAAGCCACTCCTGCTTCCAATCCTTGCTTCTTGGTCCAAATGTGCTCCCCGTTGGAGTCACAGTACCATTGATAGCTCTCTCAATAGTTCATGCCGTACATTCTGGAGAAAGACACTCCACATGAACTGCAGCTTCAGCTTCAGCTCTGCCTTCAGCAGGACTTTCCAAAGCTCTGTGGGACCAACGCTTTTAAATGGTGTGGTTTGTGATATGATCAAGGGATCCCATGTTCAGGGGTCCATGACCATGCCTCCTGCACTGTAATAAGAGGCCTCGGTCAGATGCTGTATTGTATGAATTAGGCATTTTGTAATCCCCTGAATAGTGGTGCTGAATGACGTGCTAAGGGCAAAAAAGGCAAACCCATGACAGGAATGTCTAATCCTATGAGAATGATTCACTAGTCTTTCTGGAATGGAAGGGTTTTAGTTAATTTGGTTCTAAGTGGCTCAGAAAAGTAGCACAATATCAGGGACTCAGTATTGGTCTCTGTTGCTAACAGGTTGGATATCTAGACACAGCAGTAACTAGATTGTTCTTGATAAGTCTGAGTCCACATTGTTGGGCCCATGCATGGCCTCCAACTCTGCCACTGTGGTCCTGCTTTTTGTATGCAACACATGCCATTTCTGGGGTGGCAGATGACAAAGGTTAGCAAACAATAACTGGCAGAGTCATTTGGCTCAATCTGGAGATAAAGTGAGAGATTATGACTTTATTGGAGTACTTACTCTCGGCCCTTTTGCCCATTCTTTTTTCTCATTAAAGTATTAATCGATAACCTCAATTTCTCATCTATTTCTACAAATGCTGTGTTCTGTTACACCCCTTCAGAACTATCTGCAGGTATGCCAGATGGCTGGCTGCCATTCCAACCTTAGCTGGCATTATGATAATCATGACACTCTGGCTTCTGGTGATTGAGGGCTGCCACCCGGCTTTTTTGGCTTCAGGGACCCCACCACCCCATTGTTAGCAATTTGGCAAGATCTGTAACTGGCCTGCTGAGGAGAGTGACTGCTGAACTTCTCGATGCTGCTTCCTGGCATGCCAGTGCATTCTTAATGGCCTTGGCAGATGGGTGTCTTGTGTGTTTCCCACAGAACATAATCCCATGGTGCGTCTTTAGTCATCACGAAATATATTTAATCTGGTATGCCCGAGTCCTTGGGCTTTTTAGTTTCTCCCCTACTGTCATTGCAAAGGAGTTTCAGCTTGGCTCAGCATGGGCCCTTGCATTTTCTAGGCTTCTAGGGGCCCTTATAACAGTAAGTTTGCCTGAAACTCTGAGGTCTTTGCCAGGGCGTTAAATCCAGTATGCTGAAGGAGTATCCTCAAATCAACAAACTCTCCCTCTCCTTGTCTTATGTGCTGGCTCCACTTAATCTAGACATTCAAAATCCAAATCCATGGTTATTCTCCTGGACTCTGCCAGTTCATGCAGTTCTTGCAGTTTATTTGGGAGTAAGCTGTCTTATCTGATCAAGCCCACTATGTCCATGGCTGGTTATGCTATGACTTCACACCAGCTATCAGCCTGGCTATCAGGAGAACAGGTAGGTGGCTGATCATGAGGTAGAGCCCCTATTACCTTATGGAGAAGAGGCCCCTGAAGGGGGGAAGCAGAGGTGTATTAGGGTCCTCCAGAGAGACAGACCAATAGGATAGATGGGTAGGTGGATAGATGGACAAATGGATAGATAGATTTATTGGGGAAATGGGCTCACTTGGTTATGGTGGCTGGGAAGTCCTATACAGGCCATCTGCAAGCTGGAGATACTAGGATGCTGGTTGTGTTGCTCAGTCCCAGTGTGAAGACTTCAGAACCAGAGAAGCTGATGGTGTAACTTTTCTTTGTCTTTTTTTTTTTTTTTTTTTTTTTTGAGACTGAGTCTCGCTCTGTCGCGGAGGCTGGAGTGCAGTGGCGTGATCTTGGCTCACTGCAAGCTCCGCCTCCTGAGTTCACGCCATTCTCCTGACTCATGTTCCCCAGTAGCTGGGACTACAGGCGCCCACCACCATGCTCGGCTTATTTTTTTTGTATTTTTAGTAGAGATGGGGTTTCACTGTGTTAGCCAGGATGGTCTCGATCTCCTGACCTCATGATCTGCCCATCTTGGCCTCCCAAAGTGCTGGGATTACAGGCGTGAGCCACCGTGCCCGGCCCTGGTGGTGTAACTTTCAGTCCACATCTGAATGCCTGAGAAATGGGGAACCTGGAGTCCAAAGGCTAGAGAACCTAGTGTTCTGGTATACAAGGGCAGGAGAAGAAGGGTGTCCCAACTCCAGAAAAAAGAGGGTAAATTCATCTTTCCTCTGCCTTTTTGTTCTATCCAGGCCCTTAGCTGATTGAATGGTGCCTGCCCACCGTGGATGAGACTGGGTCTTCCTGAGTCCACTGATTCAAATGCCAGTATCTTTCAGAGACACCCTCACAGACATATCCAGAAATAATGCTTTACCAGCTATCTTGGTATCCTCTAATTCAGTTGACACCTAAAATTAACTATCACAAGGAATAAGAGGTGACTATTTCTTAATAGGGGAGGGAAGGATGGGCCACATCTGCAGTATTTAAGCGTTCAGAGGAGTATGGAGAATCACATAGTTCCATCTCATATTAAGCATCCCAGTTTGTCCAACCAGGGTTCGCACCTTGGTACAATAGACCTTCCTCAGTTGAGAATTCCATCAGCTTTATATCTTGACAACTCTATTAAATCAAGGTCTGGGTCTTCCACTTCTTTTGTTCTTTCACTTCGGGAGATAAGGACTTTTTGGAAGCTTCTAAAGGAGCCCTCTGGCCTTCACACTTAGTTTTTAATTGTTAACAACCTCATCTTCTTTTATTATCTCTCTCTAGTGGGTCAATGCAATTTAGTGCCAGTCAACCAATTCTATTGCCCTGCTCTGCATTTTCCTGCAAACCAACTCACACCTGCTTCTCAAGTGGCTAAATGATTGTTCTTGCCAGGGTGTTCCCCTCTACTAGAACATTCTCTCAAATCAGCCTAGGGAACATTTTAGCAATTGGGCTGCCACTTTCACAAGTTTGCTGGTGAGCAAACTTCCTGATAGTATTTTTTGGCTCTGTGGACTAGTCTTTGTGGCAACTACTCAACTTTCTTGTACTGCAAAAGCAGCCATAGGCAATACATAAATGAATGGATATGACTGTGTTCCAACAATTTTTAAAAAACAAGTGGTTGTATAATTCAACTGGTATGACCTTCTGGGAAAGACAAAATTATGGAGACAATAAAAAGACTAGTGGTTGATAGATTCAGGGATGAATAGGTAGAACTCAGGTTCATTTTAAGGCAGTGAAATTATTCTGTATGATACTATAATAGAGGATACGTGATACATTTGTCAAAACTCATAGAATGCAACACAAAAATGTACCATAAACTATGGACTTTTGAGGCTTTTAATTTCCATTTTTATTTTAGATTCAGGGGGTACCTGTGCAGGGTTTGTTACAAGGGTATATTGTGTGATGCTGAGGTTTAGGCTTCTATTAAACCTGTCACCCAGGTAGTTAACATAGTATTTAATAGAAAGTTTTTCAATCCTTGCCCTACTCCCTCCTTTTGGAATCCCTAGTATCTATTGTTCCCATCTGTATGTCCGTGTGAACCCCCAATTTAACTTCCACTTATAAGTGAGAACATGTGACACTTGGTTTTCTGTTTCTGTGTTAATTCACTTAGGATAACAGCCTCAGGCTGTATCTATGTTCTGCAAAGGACATGATTTTGTTCTTTTTATGGCTGCATAGTATTCCATGATGTATATGTACCACATTTTCTTTATCCACCATTGATGAGCACCTGGCTT